ATTTCATTTTCTCTTCTTTCCTCTCCATCAATTTTTCCTTATTATCTTGAAAGTATATTTCTAATGCTAAAAAATATAAGGAGATTTACACGTAATTATCATTTAAGATATAACTTAGGATATTTTCCATATTGTTAAGTGTTTTTGTTGTACTTTCATTATCCAAATTTTTAATTACTATATGTATTAATTCTTGTTTACCACATTGTATTTTGAAACCTTTATTTTAAAAGTTTATTACTATAAACACTTGGGTTTTGAATGCTCATAGAAATATATTTTTATTAAACAATTTTTTTCTTCTGAAAAATCTTTAATATTATTTACATATCTAAACTATATCCTGGCTCCTATTAAAAATGACAACAACACATCCATAATTATATAAATTCTACTTTGAAACTTTGGATTTAAGAGCTTATGTCTCATGATCATTAAAAGAAGATATATTCATCTATTCTTTTTTAAATTTTTATTTATTTATTTTTATAGAGAGGGGAAGGGAGGGAGAGAGAGAGAAACATCAGTGTGTGATTGCCTCTCACGTGGCCCCCACTGGGGACCTGGCCTGCAACCCAGGCATGTGCCCTGACCGGGAATCAAACTGACGACCCTCCGGTTCACAGCCCATGCTCAATCCACTGAGCTACACCAACCAGGGCTTATCTACTCTTAAATATCAAATTTCTTGGATGAAATGCCTAAATAGGAGACTGTAACAGGTTATTAAATGGCCTTTGAAAATTAGATGTTGACAAATTCCAAAAGAATAATAAGAAGGCATGAAAGCACAATTTACTTGAAACAGTAGTTGTCTATCCGCTAGGGCCTTTAATCATCAAAGACTTATTGTGTTTAACATTCAACTTACCGTATACATTCAACCCATTTGTCCAACAACTGATCTCAGAAGTTCAAGTTTGAGGAAAGGCCCGAGCCATCCCACCTCCTAGTCATGAAGTCTAAACACAACTCCAGGAAATTCTGTCCTATATCGGAATATATGTCGGGTGCAATCCAGGACAAAGGCTTCAAGAGTCGCTGGTGACATATGCCACATAAGCTACCCAGGCTTTATCAAGCTACAGTAAGGCACACAGGACTGGGCCTCCAGGAATCCTGCGTGACCTGGCTTTCATGAGGTTTAGCCAAACCATCTGCCATTCTGCTCGGGGCTCCCATTCTGCTCATTCTAGGCTTTCCTTGAGCCCATAGCAAAAAAGAAAGGGAACAAGTATCTTCGAGAAAGGGAGTTCATGTCCATCAACAATTACGTCCTCGGGACTAAACTGATGGATTCAGTTCGGCAGCCTCTTAAGAGGACTGAAGTTGACCAGGGGGAAGAGGCACATTTCAAGTTGGAGGACGAGCAGCCCAGCCGTGGCATTTAGCTCCGCCTCAGCACAGAACAGACCCGACAGGTGTGGCAGGCCTGTGTCATGAGCAGCCAACTGGAGCAGGGTCCTCTGTTAACCTGGCATGCACCTTAGAGCCTTGCCACGTGTTAAAATATTGCTGCGCTGCTGAACTGGCTATTATATATTCTGAACAAATACCCGAGACAGCAGATAACACGGAGTCCCGAAAACGAGGCCCTGGGGCGTGGACAGGAGCTGGCGGGAAAGCGGAAGCACACAGTGAAATCTCGGGGGCACGTACTTAGAGGAACGGGATGGAAACAGTATTTCAGAAAGACCTTCCTGGGGTGTGGGCTTCTGCCTTATCTCAGCGGGATGGGCAGAGGGAGGGAGTTTCGTACTCCTGTGCCTGGCTTAAGTGAGAAGTTGTTTACTCTGCCAGTACATCATGAGAAGTGGCTGGCTGGTCGTTTAAGGACAGCTGAGCTGTTTATTTAGACAACTATAACCCAGGCTCACTTACCTTTGGGTGCCCAGACCGAAGTGCCTAATGACTAAGGCTTCTGAGTTTTTTCTAATACTCTCAAATTGTTATCAATTCGTTTCTTAGAAAGTACTCTTAAGTCTCACATCCCTTACCACTAGTGTTCTCCTCCAGGGCATGAGCACACAGAGAAAGGCAGAGAAGTGTCCATTAAATGTAGCTCCTAGTGAAGGTCACTGGCATCAACAAGAGAAGGCTTAGCCTAGTGAGTAGTGGGGTCGGAGGTCACACACACAGTAATGAGGAAAAATTGTGAAGGGGAATAGAATGAAAGAGGGCAGGCAGCCCCTTCAAAAAGCCTGCCTGGGGAGAGCAGGTCAGGGATAGGCCCGTAGCCAGAGGCAACTGCAAGGTGAAATGGGGAATCCTTTACAAAAGTTAGGTCTGAGCCTGGGCCCACAGCCTTACAGCCAGGCTGCCACAGTCAAACACACAGGATGTTGGATGGCACTAGACCTGTGGTGAAGCATAAAGCTGGAAAGGGTGTGATAAAGGGTCATCAGCAGGAACTGGCTCTTAGACGCAGGAGGCAGAGGTGGCCTCCCAGAAGGGTGAGCACACAGGGCAGAGAGACACGCCTGGTGGGGCAAGGCCCAGTCCTGGGATGTGGGTAGAGGAGGTGAGATCAGAGAGGGCGCGGGGAAGGGCTTGGGCTCCTGCCCTGAGTCAGAAGAGAAGCCATGGGGGTTTTGTGTCAAGGACTAACAGGGTCTGATTTATATTTTAAAAGGATCCTTCTGGCTGCTGTGTTGAGAAGGGATTGTGGGAAGATAAGGAAGGTGTGGAAAAATCCACTTAGGAGACTGTAACAGTAATCCAGAAGACAGATGGTACTGGCTTGGAGCAGGGTGGAGGCAATGGAGATGACAAACACTGTTTAGAGCCTAGATTTACTGTGAAGGTAAAACTCACAGGATTTGCCATTGGACTGGATGTGAGGTTTAAGAGCAAGAGGGAAGTTGAGGATGACCCCTAGATCGTTGTCTAAGTGAACAGAAGGACAGAAGTGCTTTTTTTGAGGTGAGAGAGTCTCAAATAACAAGTGTAAATATGTGTGTATAAGGGAGAAGGGACTGGAGACAGGGTGGGGGTAGGAGTATTGGGAATTTGGGTTAGGATGCATCAAATTTAAGAAATCAGAGTAACTAAAAAAAACCAAAATGCATTGTTTAAATAAGAACTCTAATGGAAATCTAAGTGATGACGTCATGTATACACATGCTCCAGGTGTCAAGCCAGAGATCCAAGCTGGAGAGGGGAATGTGAAACTGAGCCGGGGACTGAGGGTGAAAGGCCCCCAGACTGGATAAGACTCAGGAGTGACAATGGACAAGAGACCTGAAGACTCAGCCCCGGGGCTCTCCAACAGGAGAAGGCTGGGGAGACAAGAAGAAACCACCAAAGGAGACTGACAGCACATTGACAGTAAAGCAAGAAGGGAACCCTGAGAGGCTACTTCTCCAGCCTCTCCAGCGAGGAAAGAATTCAAGAACGATAAAGTCGACTGTGTAAATGCTGCCGACAGAGCAAGCAGGACGAGGTTTGAGGAGTGTCTCCTGGACTTCACAGTGGGGAGTGGCGGTCAATGATACAGCAGACTGCCAGAGTAACTGCCTGGAGCGGGTGAGAGAAAACAGGACCCACTGCAGAAGTAGAAGATAAAGCAGCGATTGGTCCTCCACAGATACAAGAGGGAAGGAAGCCGGTGGGTGTGGAGCGTGTGTAGTCATTCTTTTCTGATTGCTTCTGCTTCCTCCATGAAACAGAAAATCAGCTCATCCGGATGAGCTGCTTACCTGCTAGTAAGGCCATCAGAGAAACGCTGTAGGAGGGGGCCACAGAGGTTTGCAAGGAGAGGAGAAGATACAAAATAGTCATCCAGGAGGGAGGAAGAGTGAAAACACTAGGAAAATGGTGTGTGATGGAGGATCAGCACAAAGGAGGTGTGACCTTCCACCCGCTGGAGGCGGAAGGTCACAAATGTAGAGAGCCTGGTCAGCGTGGTAGTGTGCTGAGTGGCCCAGCTTATGCTGTGAGCTTATGAAGAGTTGGGTTTCCAAGAGTCTACCATCTGCCTCATATATATTCATTATCCCTCCCCACAACGAGGCACGTATTACTACCTCCATTTTACAAATGAGGAAACCAAAACAGAAGAGGCCAAGTGACCTGCCCAAGGTCAAACCACAGGAAGAAGCAGGACCGAAATTCAAGCCAGACAATCTGACCCAGCACGGCCACCGATACCACACAAAATGGCTGTCTTCGCACTGGACTGCACCTTCCCACATTTACACCTTTATGAGAGTTTCTAAAAGAACATTTTCTGCACAAAATGCCTGTACTATTAACATAACAAATACTCTAATATAAATATTTCAACATGCTTCTCCTTTTTAGAACTGTCAACCAAATTTTTAATAATGACAGTTGCTTTCCTACGGATTATTCATGTACTAGTCAATAACAAATAAAAACTGAGTCCACACTGAATTCTCTGGAAGAATAGAGCCAGGCTCTGAATCCAGGTCTGAGGACCACCAGGTCTGAATTGGGCATGATCAGGAAGATGTGAGCCTTACAACCAGAGACGGTCACTAAGTCAAGCAATTATCATTAAAGTCAAATAACAGACTTTTGGGTAATTCAGTCAGAGAAACTTGTAGAAAAGCTGCTATCTAAATCCAGAGTATCCTCCACAGGAGGAATATCAAAGTCCTTATTACTATCACCTATAATGCATAATTGGCCCACATTGCCATTTTCTGAAGTTTTAAAAGAACAAAACCAAAAAAACAATTCCACTCTCCCCATTGAACCAAGTGTTCCCCTGCTTCTGAATGCGTTTGGATGGAGATCAGAAAGGGACGTAGACCCACCCCCCCCCAAAAAAAGGCTTGCAGGAAACAGTTTTTTGTGATGGTTACACCAGGGAGGCTATCCTTTGAAGTCTCTCCCCAGTTTTGTTGAGATAAGATGTTTTTCTACCTAAGCCAATGACTGATTCCAGAGAGAGAGAAACAAACAATGGCGTACCTATACATGTTAGGGTTTGGGGTTTTTGTTAATGTTAGTTTATTTTAAACTCTGCTTCGTACCTGGGTCCACCTCAGAAGAGGAAGGAATAGAAAGGGCTTCTACCGAACTAACAGCCTCGCTGAGGGCCTCCTGGCCAGCTTCTTGCAGCATATAATCTCTTATGTCACAAGCAGATGGCAGTTCCAAAGCACTGTTCTCTGACTGGCTGCCTGGAGTGGCTTCCTGAGTTGCCATAGTCCTGCCATGAAAAAAAAAAAAAGAAACAATCAACACAAAAGGCCTTGCAAAGAAGAACCTCCGTGACAGTCATGACTTGCCGGACTAAAATCCCAGAATCTTAAAGGCCAAGGCCCAGTACCACCAGAATAATGTGTCTTTACTTCCTCGTCTTTACTTCGAATCTAGTATTTGCTTACCACATTTCTTCAGCATGAGAAACAACTATTCTTATTACATAGAGAAAGCATTAATCATTCCAGCTGGAAAATAAGCTGTATGTCTGGTAAGGATGAAATACTGTGCAGCACTATTATCCAAGGACCGTAACACTATTTAATGAGAAGGGAAACTGTTCACAAGATATTTGATGGAAGAAGATTTTAAAACAAGAGGTAGGGTTTGATCCAGATTCTGTGAAATAAAATATCATTTGTGGGATGTGTGTGTGTGTGTGTGTGTGTGTGTGTGTGTGAAAAATATAGCTCTATCACTAGAAAAATCAAATCTGGAAGAGTATAGCCCAAATGAATTTCACTGGTAACTAATTCGGTGGTTTAGTTTCCGGCTAGTGAGATTATAGGTAATTTGCATTTTCCTTTGTGGTCTACTCAAACATGCATTCAGCCATTACTTAACATGCCAGGCCAGGTGCCAGGCCCTGGGGATAGAAAGGGTAATACGATGGACCTTTCCTTCAAGTTGCTTACAGTTTGCAGTGATCCAAACACAGAAACACACCCCGTTCACAAAACGACATAACAGAGAAGAGCCCAGGAAGAGGCAGGGGGTTTCTGGAGGGGGTTATCCCCAAGCATAAGGCAGGCCACGCCCTGGCCAGGGGACAGCATGAACACCAGAAGAACCAGTTTGAGCAAACCACAAATGTCATGGGGTGTCAGGAGTCTAAAGTGAGAATCAAGGAACAGTCATGCCCTATGTAACTCGAGAGGGTCAAACCGTGTGGTCTCAGCTGGGACCCTCTCCTCTTCCTGTGCCAAGTCTGGGAAGGACAGCAAGTCCTTGGATACGCAAATTCTTTAGCTGAGTTCTGGAGACCATGAAAGTGGCTTATTAGGCTCAGTGTTTGGACATGTTTTATTAAAAATGAGTCTGCATGCTGCTGCATTTAGACCTACCTGTGGACTGGGTTCTCTAATGGGGAGCTTTTTGCGGTGCATCCAACCCTGCCCACCTCTCTGTAAAATAACCGTGAGCCTGGGGAGACCCAGGATCCTCTGCTACTCTCTGCATTGCAAGTTGTTGCCATTACTAAATCTTGTCATAGACAACACCATGCATTGAGACTGCTGTAGGCCACCGTGCACCATGCAGGAGAGTTACAATCAGGGGCGTCAAACTTATTTTCACCAGGGGCCACATCGGCCTTGTGGTTGCCTTCAAAGGGCCAAATGTAGAGCTCCTTGCCCCTACTTAAGGAGTAGTTACATTTACACAGTCCTAAAATTGCATTCAGCAACCACGAGGCCAATGTGGACCCTGGTGAAAATGAGTTTGACACCCCTGAACATAGTCAGATCTGCAGATGGATTTGCAGGGCCTACACCTCCTGGCAGGCAATCTCAAAAGCAAGAGGAATTTATTCACCTGCACTGGCCCCAGTGAGAGAAAAAGAGCATGTGAACAAGGGCAGGGCACTATTGGCCAAGAGCAGGGGGCAGATTAAGAACATGTTTAGGAAGGAAAATGAGAGTAGAACTTAATAAATGAATGAATAAAGGAGCCAAAAAGAAACAGAGGGTCACTGAGGGTGGCACCTGGGTTGTATTACCAACTGAGTCAGAGAAGACAGGAAAAGAAATGGGGTTGGGAGGAGGCAGTACCCCAAATTACGGAATATGCCACTGTTAAAATGACAGTCTGAACTTGTTAAGTCGAATGCAAGACACAATTCCAGAATAACACGGACAGCATAATAATAAGAGTAGTTAACATCTATCAGGTGCTTGTTGGAAGCCATCAGTGTCCTAAGAGCTTTAGCTGCAACAACTCTGTGAAGCAGGTCATCCAATTATTACTCTCACTCACAGTCGGACAGTCAGACCCAGACACAAAGACAAGTAGAGTTACTTGCCCAAGGAAACCCATCAAGAAAGTACCAAGCTCGCATGAACTCAGCACCAAGACCTCCCAGCCTCCTATGTCCGTGCAGCCTCCACACTGGGATCTAGTCAGGCACAGACAGGAGGTGGATGAAAACAAATCAACAGAGAGGCCTGGCGAGATCCTTCTTGTTAGGGCACATCAAGTCACATGCTGTTGTGACATTCATTCTGGCAGAGACATCTGCCCTGGCAGAGAGTGAGCCAAGACATCAGCTGATTGCTTCTGAAAGGAGCTGAGTGATCAAGTACCTCCTGTCTTTTCACACGTGTTATGTTAGCCAACCAAGCCTGAAGTCTGAGCAAACACCTCTGCCGCAGGCTCCCGGAGGCTCCTCCCCCTCTGCTCCTGTTACCAAACACTGCTCTGGAGCCTTCTGGAAGGGAACAAACAGGTCAATGAATGACATCAGCATATTCTGCCTGACAGCCAAGGTGCCTTGAAATGGATCACCAACTCAAGGTGTCGCTAGCGACATGAAGCAAAAGGAATCCTTTCTGAAAACTAATAGCACACTGGTATGATATGTATCTTTTCTTTTAGAATCACTTATATTAAATGTCAAAAACATTCCAAACTAGGCATTTGAACAAATAAAGAAAAAAAATTTCTACTGAAAGGCTGAATCCTTTTATTATAAAATAAGTCTCTGTGTATGTAAAACACATTATTTGGGACTCGGTGAATGTGTACAGGAGAAAGCAGTAACAGAGTAGAGTTGAAACACTTCTCATTAGGATCTAAAATTATGTGGGCCAGTAAATAGAACAAACACAATGATTACCTTTTGCCCCAGAACTTTTGTTGTTCACTTTCCTTGTCCAGAAATGCATATTTTCCCTCTTTTAAAAGTGCTTGAATTACACAATCTAAATATTCTTTTCCAATGCAAGACATGCCTGAGAGCGCAGGCATAGGAAGTCTCTTAGTACCGAAAACCTGCTCACCAAGAGAAGGCAACCACTCTTCCGTTACTCTACAGATCCTTACACACCTAACATACAAGTCAATCAGGGTCCACGGAGAAGTGGTTTAAGTCACTTACTTTTTCTGTTAAGGCTTTTCTTTCCCAGTATTTTACATGAAAGTTTTCAGCATAAGCTAGAAAGAATTATAGCTACTGCTTAGGTTTCACAACTAATATTTTACTATGCTTTTTCCTATCACATAACTATCCATCTATCCAACTCTCTCCTAATCTGTCCATTTATCTTATTTTTACACTATTTCCATTTAAATTTCAATACAGTGGAAGCTTCTGAGTTGGGTGTGATATGATCAGTTTGCACTTTCAAACCCTGTCAGCTGCAAGAAGCGGGGGACACAACCGGAAGCTCTGCAGAAATGTCTAGACACGCGCAGGGCCTGAAGTTGGAGAGACTCGAACCCCTGCTGTCACTTTTTAGCTGTGTCACCTTGGGCAAGTCACTTAACCTCATTTTCCTCATCTATAAAAATGGCTTAATGATTATGTTTGCTTCCCTTACAGGATTGTCGTAAAAATTATATAATATTAAGGCCAGCAAAATATTTATTACAGTAATGTGCTCTAATGTCTAACTCCAATAACTGAAATAGTAATAATTAAAAGACAAATTATAGGCTCCTACCTTCCCAGCCTACCTCCAGTCTATCTGCCCCTTTATTTCCCATCCAGTGGCCACCCTACTTCTTTCATCCTGATTCAGTATCTTCTATTGTCCCTCCCCAGTCTGGTTAATACCCCAAACTTCCCTTCCCTGCCCCTTCTGTCTTTTCATCATACCCTTTTGACAAAACTCCAGCCTACACAAATTCAACTATCTACCCAACTCGCCATGAGCTGGTCCTCAGAGTCACAGAACAGGGCAGAACTGGCTCACTCTAAAAGAATAAGCACCAACCTGGAATGGGCTATCCGGTCAAACAAACCCTGAAACACTTATCTCGTAACTCCCTCTCCCACTGTCCTTGACTCTTCTTTTTTCCATGATTTTTTCTTTCTTTTTAATTTTTTTTTACTTTTCAACCAGTTTATATTTAATATTATTTTGTATTAGTTCCATCTCCTTGACTCTTTTATGTTTTCTCCAGGCTTCTTCAACTCAGACCCTCCCCGCCACTCACAACCTTCTTCCTCTTCTCTGCAGAACATCTCACTTCCTAAGTGACAAAACAGAGTCCATCACAGAGGGACTTCCTCAACTCTCCTATCAAACAAGACAAAGCCGCCGCACCTGCATACTGGGTCACCGCTCTTCGCTTTTCCTTAACAGGGGCCAACGTGGACTGAGATCCCACTCTTTGGATCTGTCTATAGCCTTCAGTGGCAACAATCCTTCTCTCACCTCTGTTCCATTGGACCATCACTTAGATTTTCAACATGCCCAAATTGCTCCTATTTTCATCAAAACTTATGCATAAGGGAATGTCCTTATTCTTCAGAAATGAATGCCCCTCAAATATATATTGGTAGGGGGACACGATGTCTACAATATATTCTCAAATGGTTCTCACTATGTATATATATATATATATGCACACACACATATAAAAGAAGAGGAGAGAGCCTTGGGCTAAGCCTCAAGGAAGAACAAATGGAGATGGAAGTTGAGCTGCAAAACTCATATGTGTATCCATTAGCAATAAAAAATTAAACTGAAATTAAAAGAACAAAATTCCATTTACAGTAGTATCAAAAAATAAAGTATTTAGGAATACATGTAATAAAAATATATAAGACGTATACACTACAAAATAAATGTTGAAAGAAACTGAAAATAAATGAATGGAAAGACACCCTATGTTAATGGAATGAAGACAATATTTTATTGCCCAAATTGATTTACAGATCAATGAAATTCTTATGAAAATCTCAGTTGCCTGTATTTTGGGGGTTTTGTGGGGTTTTTTGGCAGA